TACAGGCGTTAGCCAGGTGCACTACCCCCTCCCCTAGGTGGGTTCGAAACCCGTCCCTTACCAAAAAAAAAAGTGAGACATAGGAAGTAACTTTTCTCAAATTGACATTTTTGTTGATGAGGTTCTATGTCACTGGATCCTACCTTTGGTCTCTCATAATCGCAGAAGTCTTTTAAATTGTTGGTTATTACAGTGCAATTATGTAAAATATTATTCTAGAAGCATACCTATCTAGTAAAAATTCTTCCCATTATTTCATTACCTTAAGACAAGTTGATGCTGTTACAAATGCCCCAAATAAGATATATACCCATTTTTCAATTCCCAAAATACTGGCTTTCTGATGTTATTCTACTACATTTTTCAGTTCTATGGGAATTGAATTTTGGGAATGGGGTTGGGTAATTGGACTTTTGAGGAAGAAAGAAGGGAGGGGGTGGGGGTTGGAATTTTAAATATCTTGTTAAAAAACAACTTGATTCAAGGATGCATGTTATCCATACAAACCTGCTTCTTAAGAAATTTAAAAACTCTGTTGAAATGACTTGATAAAGAGCCTCTTGTATAAAAAAATAAATAGCAATATAGATTTATCATTTTTGGATCTCATTTTTGGCGTAGTAATGTTTTACCATACATGTATATATAATGTAAACTGATGGCAGCAAGCAATAAATGTTTCCATGCATATTGTGGTCACATTTTGCTAAAGATAGAGATTTAATTGAACTCTCATAACAGCAAAGATGTGTATACTCTCATGTAACTGTTTGCAGTCTCTGCTCATCTGTATTCGGCATTCTTTTCTTCAGAATCTTAATACAATTTCAATTCAAGTAAGATAGAACCAAGTGACACCTTCAAGAGACTTCAAGTTTCTAAAACCCCAAATGATAGAATGACAATGCATCTGAACTGATGTACTAAAACATAGAGGTCTGAGGACCCAAGTCCCTTTAGTGCAAGTTAGGTTGCCTTGATTGTCAGGAGGATATAGGGTGCCAATGGAATGTGGAATTTACTTGTGTTATTCTTTCTGTTTAACTGATTTTACTGTCATTAAGGGGTTGATTAATTGCCTCATTTCTTGTTCATTGTCTTCACTTGCTTTTGATGTGAGTAAATTTTATTCATTGCTTCTCACTTTTTGATAAATTTTGGGCTTATGACAATGGAAGAGCTTGAGCTTGATATGCACCCTGATCTTTCTTCGTGCAAAGTCTACTCTTAATGCCCTTTCAATATTTTGATGTACCTTGTGACAATATTTTGATGTATACATAGCGAGTACGTATAATTGAATCCATGGGAAAGGTAAGTACAAGGTATTTTTGCAAGTTCCCAATCCAACCATGGATAATGTTCCGAACAGGACATGCCTAATTGGCCAATTTACTAGAACTAGTGGCTCAACAATGTGTTGGCTTGGTTTTAGTGCTATTTGGGTTCTATTGTAAACCAATAGGTATATATTTTTCTTTTGTACGACTTATGACAAGTTATATAATAATAAGAGAATTGCTCTTTTATTTTTGAACTTCTCTCCACAAGATGAAATTCAAAATTTTATTCGGTAAGTGTTTACACTTAAAAATAAACCAAAAGGGTAAGGTTATGTGTCAAGTTTAGGCTCAATCTATAAGTAGAGTCAATAGGCTTGAGTTGGGCTGGGCTAATTTAGAATTTAATGGCTTAGAAGGACTTTTAAAGAGGCTGGATTTTAGGTGGTAGAAGATAAGTTAGTTTTTGGTGGTTGAGTTTGATTTAAATTAGGAAGTTAAGGGTTTTTAGGAGAAGAATATTACTAGGGTTTTATTGAAGATAAGATTAAATAAAAAATTGTCAGTTGCCAGACAATTGCCCAGACACTTAGAGTCCCCACTATTCATTCATGGTGGGAAGAAGGCCGAAAATCATGGAGGAGGCTTCCCAACACCGAAGAAAAGGAAAACAAGAGAACACACACAGTCAGACGGCTTGCCCTACAAAAATTATCTAGTGCATTTGCTTTTTCAACTTTTAGACTATTTTCATCTAGATTTTAGTATAATTTCTAGATTAGTTTGCAAGATCTACTCTTGTTCATAGTTTTAGTTTAGGTTTTTTCCATCCTTGTTCGGATTTTCTCTCAAAAATTACAACTTTAGTTAGTCTTTGGAGATTTGGAAGTGTTTCAACCCTGAAAACAGGTCTGCCCTGTTGATTTTGTTAGTTTTTCTTTCTCTTATGGATTCATCTTTGTTATTTGTTTATGTAAATAAATTGAATGTTTTCTGCCTTCTTACCTTTATTTATGCACAATTGCCGAACTCATAGCTTGCTTAATTTCAATTTCCATATTAAAGTTTAATTTTATGAGTTTCTAGACTTTGAGTATTTTGTAGATTCTCTTTTAGATTTAGCAATCAAGTAGTTCGATTATTTTTATTTGAAATTTGCAAGTAATTTGTTTAATTGTCATGGATCGTGAAGTTAAAATTAGTATATGTAATTTTGCACAATCTGTTGTTTGTGAAGTTTATTTTTGTGGCATGTTATTCTCTTTTAGTTATTTCGTGTTAGATTAATTACCTTAGGATATTGTGTTTACTTTAGGATTTGTGGGTTTTATTACACTTTTATAGTTGTAAAGTCCTTGGAGGTGTCAAAGGCAACTAGTAACCCATTTTACAGAACTCCACCCTTTATTTTGCAACATTGTCTAGGGCGCAATTTATTTCTCAGGTGTTTTTTTTTTACAATCATATCGGAGGTCGACTGTTGGAAAGGAGAATGGTCGTCTAAAAAATCTTGTTTTCTTGTTTTTAGACAAAGCAAGTAACACGCCTATTTCCCAAACTCGCGTGGTTAAGGTTGGCTAAGGATTTTTGGGGAAATAGTAAGACATTGTTTGCAAAATATATTATTAAATAACAGTATGAATTGTAACTTGTTTTCATAAAATTTGGAGGATATGCGAATTGCAATTTACAATTAAAAAAAAATACCTTTGGTGGCAAAAAAGAGAAAAATGCATACCTAGGACAAACAAACTAATTGTTGTTTTTATTTTTTCATATTGAAAAAAAAATTTAATGGTAATATTTTTTTTATTAAAAGTAAGATTTTTTGAATTTAAATCATATAATATACATGTGGAGTGAATTAAGAATGGGAGAGTATTATTTATTTATCATTGTACAACCAAAGATTTAAAAAAAAAATAATTAAATAAAAAAAGAAAACAGCTTAAGCTCTCGAGAACGAAGTCCCTATGACACTATCATATTGGATCCCCCTGAAGGATCATATCCTTATACTTTCCGGAGGTACCTTACAATAACTCGCGCCCAATGGCATGTTATGGCGCAGAGATGCCATATAATTAGTGTGGCAAACAACACGAATTATAAGTGTACAGCAACCGGTAGATGTCTAACAACAAGGTCGATGCAGGACGTCCATCAACAGCTTTCAGTGCTGTGATATTATTCTTTCTTCTTCATACAATAACAGAGGCAGGATACAACTTGGTATTTCTATCCCTTGAGGCTATCCACTCAACACATGACTTTTGGCACCGAAAAAAGTTCATGGCCACGCAGGATTCGGTGATATTCATTTAGAATTATTAGAAGATCAACCTCCACGTTTTGTAAGAATTGTGAATCAGTATAATGACTGAAAATTCAACCTTTAGGTTTTGCTCGCTCAACTTTACATGGTGCATTTTTTTTTTTCTTGTCTTTATATAAGTTAAGTGATAATGTGGTGATTAACTAATTTAAAAATTATTTTCTTTTAATTTTTTTATGATATGTCTATTATAAATGAGTCCCTTAACTTAGTTGGATAAAATATGTAGTATTTATGCTGACAATTTTAACTCAAATGAATAAAATAATAAATTTAAAATTTAAAAACTATCCATCAATTAAATTTCTTTATAAATTAAAATATTAGAACTTACAAAAGAGAAAATATTCTTACAATTTTATGTAACACTATAACTATATTATTGCAGATAATAAATTGTTTGAGTTTAAATTAGATAGGTCCCATGCCACATTATTTTTTTTTTTTTTATATGCCTATGTCACAATATTTCTGTTATTAAAAGTGCTCTTAAAAGAATTGTCCACGTTTAGACTAGGTAATTTTTTACTCAACCCACTAACCCACCCATTTTTTGCCCATTTAAAACAAGTTTGAGTCATATATTTATGACCCGTGACCCGTTAATGACCTGTTAAGAGAACTCAATTGGTCACGGGTCAATAAGAGGTTGA